ATCTTTATCTAAGACACTGTTCTTGTCCTGCCTTCACCCCCACTGGCTTTTCCTGCCATGGGGAGATTCTGCTGTACCCCTGCATCTTCAAATCCCAGGGCAGAATTCCCCATTCTGATCAGAGGTGGGAACCCCTTCAGTTTCTGCTGTGTCCAATCAAATTAAAACCTGGCAGATCCTTTCTCTGGCACACGTTGGAAGCCAAGCATCTCAGCTTCTAATTCAGAAATAAAGGTGTAGCTCCATGGTTGGTAGTTAGTTGCTACAAACGACACTCACTGAGGACAGCATTGTAGCAGCTAAATATTTGCCTGCATCTTGACAATTCGAAGCTCCACGGTCTTTTTAATTTTTAACAATTCCATTTTCCTGAAATTGGTGCAAGCCCTTTCTGTGCCAGCAACGGCTCCCTCTGTCTATCCTTCCCATATTTCCTGGCTGGTTCTAACATCTGGGCCATTTGCTGCTTTGACTCTTCATATGTAAATCTTCCACCTCTTCTCCTTTCTAGGTAATCGATGCCCAGTTAGGCCAGTTTCTGGAAGCTGCCCCTAAACCACCGGGGGAGGGGAAAGTTCTGGTTTTGTTTAGCTGTCTGAGTGTGTTATCTTGGAATTTCTGTTACTAGGGCACAGTTTGCTTTAATCATGAGTGTGGAGTTAATGCAATAAAGTGAAGCCTAGAAAGATTGGTGTGAACACTGAGATTACCTTGTGTAAATCCATATATTGTTTCATATTTTCAGAGTTTTTTTAAATGCCCTTTTGCTCCTGTCATATACACATCGAGCTGTTTTACATTTATATAACTGGGAAAAAATGATCCATCTTCAGTGCTTCCCAACCTGGTGTCCCCAGATGTTCTTGGACTGCAACTCCTAGAAGCCTTCACCACCAGCCGTGGTTGGCCAGGATTTCTGGGAGCTGCAGTCCAAGAACATCTAGGGACCCATGATTGGGAAGCACCGATCTAGCCAATGAAGTACATCCTCAAAACAATGAAGAGTCCTGCTAGCAATTTTAAAATTGTAATAATAACGACAACGATACAGAGGCACACAGAAATCCACAGCTTTTAGTCTGATCCATTTCAGCGAGACCTACATAATACAATAAACATAAAGAGGCAGAGAGACAGAACCGAGTCACAACATGGGATAAAATAACAGGTCTTAGGGAGAAAACACACACACACTGTAGCTTCAAAACATCCAAGCACTGGAGAACAAACTCTTCAAGACAGAGCAAGGAGAGATTCACCATCTGTGTGTGCTCTGTGAGAATCTCCTTTGCTGAAAAGACAACGGCTGGGAATATTTTTTTAAAATGTGGCAGCATGTCATCGATCACAGGCTATAGGGGATTCTCGGCAGCTTCAAAAGCCATCTTATCAAACACGGGTCGCACAATCCCTGCCATGATCGTGTCGCCGCTTCCAGAACCAACCTCGGCATCTTCCAGAAACATTTTCACGGCAACTCCCCCCATGTCCCACCCAACCCTGACTGTGGGAAGGCTGCGGAATACGTCGCCCCCCCCTCGAACCCAGACCCTGGCACCCCCAACCCCAGCTCAACTGCTCAACACAATCCAAAGCCACGGCTGTTCCCAGATTTGACACTGGCCCATGTTTAATCAGCACCCCTCGTGGCTTCCTTGTTCGTCTTCCCGCTTAGCATTCTCCTGGCTACCCCTTTCAGAGGGCAGGGAGCCCGATCAGCCGCAGAAAACCACAGGCGACATGGATGGGGATGCAAATCTGGGTCAATAGGGAATAAAGAACTGGGATGGGAGCGATGGATTGAACCTGACCGGTGCCTTCTTTGGCTGAAATGAGGGTCCTGTAGGGTGGACTTGTTTCCATCCTGGGATGAGGTGGGGATTTCATCCGCGCGGCTTGGCCTGGCTTTAGAGAAGTCGCTGGGTCCACCCCGGAGGCATGAGACCTCTCAAAGCGATGGCCCGTCTTCACAGAGCAGTCTCCTCGGGAGTAGATCTTTCCGGCTCTGCTCGATCATGGGAAAGACGCCCACTGCAGTCGTGCCATCCCCTCTGACGGGAAGACGCCGGCATTTTCCTTGACCGTGGGTCGGGCGGGAGAAAACAAGAGGAGCGGCCAAACAGCCCCTTTCTAGACTCTGCCGGGAGCAGAAGCCCTTGCCCCCAAATCAGAGAGAAGAGCCCAGGGTTTCATACGGAAATCCGAAATAAAGCTTTCTCCAGAGGATCCGCTCCACCATTTGTCCAAACTCTCACGGGGCAATCCTACTACTCCATGATCTCTCCTGGGTCAAGACAGATGGGGCTGGGAGCCCATCCATGGATTGCTAGGCCACAGTGAAGGACACTTCCGCCCCCTCCCCAAAGGTCACCTGTCTGGCCATTCGAAAGGAAGAGACAAATATACTACAGGATAGCACAGACTGTGTTCTGTTGTTCCGACATGCCTCGTCCAATGCAGATGCTGGGAGCTGTTCGACCACATCTGGAGGATGAGAGGGACCTCAGAGGATAAAACGGGGTGGGTGGGGGGAAACGGGCAGGAATCCAAGGAGGACACACTGCACAGGAGAGGCAGAAGAGAGGGGGCAAAAACAGCAGAACCAGGACAAAGCCAGAAAAAACATCTGCACAGCTAGAACCAGACTTTGGCTCTCACTCCTCTTCCCTGTTCAGAGTTCCTTTTCATCTCTCGACACAGCGTTTCACTTCCAGATGCATTTCTTGAAAAGGGGGAGGGAGAGGCCTCACTCCCAAGCCTGGAAGTGGAGACGGGTTACTTAGCGATAAGAGGGAAACGTAGACTTGGTAGGATCAGAGTCGTTCTATTTCAGAGATTCCCACCGGGTGAATCCTCTCTCCTATCAGAACTTGTTCAATTCACCAGAGGTGCTGCACCTGCCACATTTTCCTCCTTCTGAGTCCATCCATCCTCAACGTAAACTTCCGTTGAGCTTAAAAGGGCAGGAGCGTCGCCTTAGAAGCAAGGTTTAAGAAAACCTCAAGCCATCTGGGAAGGAGTCGTATGGAGAAAGCTCAGCTCACGTCATCCACAAGGCGAGGTCTAAATTCACCAAGGCTACCAGGGACAGCACCGAAGTAAGGTGTGGATTAAGCTTCTCAAGCACACAAGAATTTAGGGGGTGGGGTGGGAGCACGCGACTTAGAATCTACAAGATGCTCGTATCAGAAATGCAGAAGCCACAGGCAGCTGCTACGTTCTCTACAAATATACATACAGTACTTTATATCCAAAATTAAACATTGGGGAAGAGAAAGACAGTTATGAGCAGAATTTTGGAAACAGACAGAACAACAAACCACCCATGGCAGGGAAGTTGGAATGGGGTCCCGGGGAAAATGCTCTCTGCCGGACACAGCAGCTCCTGCATGACCCTTATAAATAAGTACGTCGAGCTCACAGTGAAGATCCCATTGCTACGGAAATCACAGCCGTCTGCCCGCGGGATGGACTGAGGCCCAGGGAACCTTTCGGCCGGTCTCCTAGCGTCCACAGTTGAGAACAATATCATCATACTCCTCCTGGCAAAGCAAAAAAGCACGGTCAGTTTTCACCTCCACGTGGCTGATGCTGCCAAGAGGAGGTGAACCTCGGGAGTTTTCGCAACATCGTTCCACGGCCACCCCGGAAATGAAAGGGATCTTGTCTGCAACACGGAAGGGTCATGAAGATTGGACTGGGCACGGTGACCGGGACAGGATGAATTTTTCCATCTAATCACACATTCCAGAAATAAGGGAGTTCCTACATTCTTAGCTAGACACTTAATTGGCCTGAAGGAATGCAGGCTTGCCCTCAGAGGATAGGAAAAGCACAGAGATGTGCAGAATGGGAAACAAGAAGATGCATAAGACCTTGGATTTCATCCCCCATGTGCTTCCTCTTGTGCTTAACTAAAGACCAAGTTCCAGGCTTTATGGGTGCAAAAAGTATTCTTGGAAAAATGAGGGACAATGCTTCCTGAACCCTGAAACATAAAAAGGCTGTCAGGTCCTGGAGCAGGTATTTCACTAAACCTCCTCCAAGAAGATTGAAAATAATCAGGGTCGGGGGGGGGTAGAATTATTCAGAAAAATTACTGGCTATCCTTGGTTGGGAGGACTGTGGGTGCCCTAATCCTAGAACAGTAACATTTGCAAGCTCAGCCTATGAGGATGATTCACAAGCATGCAAAGAACCACCGGTCGGTGTGACTACAGTTCTTCTTCAATGCAGAGCTGGCAAGGAGATCCGAGAACCAGACATCACGGCCAGGATGAAACTTACCTCGCTGTTGCTGTCCAGGCTCTCCTCTGAGTCCCAGTCAGGCTCCTCTGAGCCAAACTCTCGCAAAAGCTGAGGGATTTTTCGGTCGGGCCGGTGCACGGCGCTGTACATGGGCGTGTAGCCAATGTACATGCGGGCTTCTGGGTTGGCTCCAGCCCGCAGCAAGCACTCAACCGCCTCGGGGCTCTGCGACTCCACAGCCAGGTGAAGGGGGCTCCGGCCACAGCTCAGCTCCTGCCAAGAGGGTAAGAGGAAACGTTGGGGGTGGGGGAGAAGGAACGACAGTACGTCCCAGCAGCTATGAGTTCCACACGCCTGTTGAGATTACAAGGGGGCCGCTCCGAGAGAGAGAGATGGGCAAAGGAACAACAGTATAACTCAGATGATCCGGTGCAGCCGATGCTTGTGCAGCCCATGTTACAACTTCAAAGCAGTACAGAACAAGGAATGCAAGGCACAGGAGCATCATGAAAATGCCAGCTTTTTTTTTCTTGCTCGCTTGTTCATAACAACGATAATAATTTTCTAGGTCTCATGGCCGTAAACCAATTTGGAAATACCAAAGACCCAGAAACAGAAAACGCTGCTCCTGAGGGTTGGGACAGGGAAGTCCAAGATTCTGCATTTTTTAAAATCAAAATAATTTCTACCTGAAATTAAGGTGATTTCCATAAAGTGCCTGCAGCGTCTTGCTAAGAATTTGTTCATTAAAAACAATATAATAGTTCTGTATACCTCGCTGTGAGTGGGAGAGGTAGAAAGAATTATGGCAAATAACGCCTGCCTACCACACATACGGCCTCACACCGGATCATCACACACACACACACACACACACGTTTCACTGCCACTTCCAGAACTAACCGGTTTGTTGAGGTCAGACCCCGCAGAGATTAAGAGACTGACCATCTCCAAGTCTTTCCGCAAAACGGCAACATGTAATGGTGTGTACCCTATGCAATCACAGAGAGAGAGAGAGAGAACAAGCAGTTTAGCAAAGGTTAGGCCCGACTCCCAACCAGAGAAGCCACCTCTCTGTTTTTTTAAAAATATAAATTCACATCTTGCGTATGGAAATTCCAAATGGATACATTATAGACATTCAATGCAACTGCACAGATGAGGTGTCTTTTGTTTCAAGAGCCATATTCAGATTTTTCCAAAGTTCAAGTAGAACTGTGGGAACCACAGCAATAAAAGAACAGCAAAGAAACTTTTTAAACAATAACTTAAAAAGTGGACAAAATAATAAACATAGGGCATAAACGAGAAAAACTCCACGACGGATAGAAGCCCGCCCATCCACCACTTCCTCAACCTCACATCAACGCATCAATCTTGAATGTAAAATCAAAAACACAATCTGCATTTAGAACATTTCCATATATCCCACAAGTGGTTTATCTGAGGCGTCTCCTAACCGGCCTGACCCTATGGGGGAGGATGCAGAACAGGTGCAGAAAAGGTACCATCATAGTTGGTGCAGTCCAGCTGGGCCTTGAAGCCACTCCCCTCAAAGGGCCTTGGCACCAGGGCCGGCATCAGGAGCTGCTGGGCACATTCTCGCTGCCCTTCTCGGCACGCCAAGTGCAGGGCCGTGTGACCGCCCTTCTCCTGCACGCAGAGGCCAGCTCCCGCCGACACTAACTTGCCGACAAAATCGGATGCGCCAAGGATAACAGCAATGTGGAGCGCTGTCTGAGAAGAGAGAACAGTGAAACCTTTAGCTCCGAGGTCAACAGGTAGCCTGCTTAGTGTTCTCCGACTGTCATACAAGCACAACACCAAGATCTTTGCCACACAGGCCCAAAGCTCAGCAACTTTCATTTCAAAGGGGGGAGCCAGTAACCATTAGACATGGGCCTTGGTTAGCTGAATACCCCTCTACAAGCCATCTGCCTGCTGCCTTCTTTGTTACATTTTAAGTCACACAATCAACACTTATTCTAACTTTATCTAGCATCCTCCTTATTCTTTGGTCTGGTATTTTGCTCCTTCTGACCTTCGTTCTGATATTTTTGAAACTCGCTTTGCTTCTAGTCAGTCCCCCTTTTTGTGACATTTCAACCTTCCCCCTACCTTAACTGTGCACCATCTCAAACTTCAAACTGATGAAAATGTCATGTATTTTTAATTGTGATCAACTTAAAAATATATGACCTATATGAATCAAAGTATATTCTGATTAATTCATCAAAGAAGCAATTTGCCAGGTTATTTTTCTCAGTTCTATTTATTACGGGGATCTGGCCTGTCCTGCTGCATTGCTATGAACCATTAGCAAGACCGAGGCTCATATGAAGTGCCAGAAAACGTGTCTCCATCTAACCTGTCCTAGGTCGTTCTGAACATCCAGGTAATCTGTTCCTCGGGTATACTGAAGGATAGAATCCAAGAAAGCCTCGTGTTCATGGATGACAGCCAAGTGGAGAGCTCTGGAGGCAACAAGGAAGAACAGATGCTGTTAAGAACAGGAATTCATCCTGCCCAGGAAAGGGACTTGTAGAATAAACAGGACATGGAAAAGCAGAACTCAAGGGACTACAGTCCCCCATCCTATTTCTGCTGCCCCCCCCCCAACATCTGAATACAGTTCTTGGACAAAATGCTGTTTAAAATTTTAGACCATGTCTAAACTTTGAAACAGTTCTGCAGTTCTCTCAGTCCATGTTTGCTTAGTCCTGTGTGTTCGAAAAGAGGTGGCCCATGTCATTTTGCATAGGACTCTATCCTAAGTTTCCCCAATATAATTTTATGAAGGGTGAAGCACTGAGTCTGTCCAGTAGATAAGATTTTCAAGCAGCCATAAAGTGCCATGTTCCCCGAGCCCAAACATGCAAAGAAGGTAATAGTTAAAACTAAACTGAAACCAGTTCAAAGGTACGGAGCCAATGACATTTAACTGAACCTGTTACGGACTTTCCCTCAATGCACCTCTGATTCTTTGACATCTCTGTGTAAATATAAAGAAGATTTAAATAAATAATCTGGCTTAGGAAAACAGTCCTTGGCTTTATTACAAAACACCAGAGCGGGAAGAGCAGGCGAAGAGCCGCTCTTTCAAATGTGATGGCTAGAAACCAGCCCCGGACGGTTGCTGTGGCTGACGGCGTCAGCAGCCACTCCAACAAGCGCATGGTGCGCAGGTGGCGCTTCACATCCTGAGGCAGCCCTCACAGAGAGAGCTGGCAGCGAGGGAGCCCCGCACACCAGGCCGGTGTGTACGCTCTGCCCCCTTCGAGCCTTCACCCTGCCAGGGGCAAACGCTTCTCCTCTCAGGCAGCCGCCCTCGTTTGTGCCAATTCTGCAAGCGAAGCGCTTCAGGTTTCCTTCTGATGCTGCTTTCCACTTTTTAATCATCGGAGACTTCCTATGCTGCCGCGGCTGGGAGGGCGAGTGCGCACCGCGAACCTGCTGTGCCTGGCCTCGTGTGTGTACGTACGTGTCCCCGTCTTCGGTCACGAAGCCCAGCACGTGGCGCAGCCAAGCCTCGGGGGCCACGGACGCCGCCACGGGCTCCTTCTCCAGGCGCACGGCCCCCACGCCGGCCACGAGCGGGGCCAGGTCCTCGTCGCCCCCCAGGGAGTCTCCCAGGGCCGAATCATCACGCTCCAGCTCCTCTTCCTCCTCCTCCTCCTGCAGGGCCTTGTGGGGGCCACTCGGCCCCAAAGGCCTGGGGTCAGAGGTCACGGCCATGGCAGGCTCCCCGGCCTCCAGGCTGCCCCGGCCCACAGAGGCCAGGCCCCCTTCCTCCTGGAGCTGGCCCAGCTGGGCCTCGCTGAGGGAGCCCAGGCCGCTGTCACACCACTCGTCCCCGCCGCCCGACCCCGCTTCCCCCCGCTTGGGCTCCTTCGGCCCGCCGGGCGCCCCGGAGGGAGACCCTTGCAAGCAGGCCATGGCTGCTCACGGAAGGCCCCTCAGAAAGCCCATGCGGGAGAAGAAGCGCGGCCCAAAGAAGAGCGACCGGTTTTGGGGAGGGGGGGCGCGACCCTCGGAGCCTCTTCAAGGCGCGACTCCGGGCACCGCCGCCATCAAGAAAGAGCAGCCTGGGGAATTCCCCCGGACCTGCGCCCAGGGGCACGCCGGGAGCCGTAGTCCGCGCGCGCCGGGCCTGACGGGAAATGTGGTCCGGGGGGGGGGCGCCTCTTACATCCGGGCACCCTCCCAGCTAGCGGCAAGGCGCCATTTTTGTTGTTTCTTGCCGTCATTCTGTCGTTTCCTCCCACCGCCTCTGGGTGGGTGGGGTCTCGTGGCCCTCGACGTCACAAACGTCTGCGCAAGGCATGCCGGGCGCCGCAGTGACTTTGACGTCGTTGACGTCCGGGAGGTTTGTTTTGTTTTTTTTTCTTCGTCCCCGGCCTCCCTCTCCCCGTTGCATTCTGGGAAACCCGGCCGCCTCTGTCCCGCGATGCTTCATGGGGGTTGTAGTTTTCCTGTCAGGTCGAGGCGGAGGGAAGCTGGGGAAGATTGCTCCTCCTTCTCCTTCGGGGCTCGTTTGAGAACCGGAGTTCGTGGTGCGGAGAAGGAGGGGGGGGACCCTCGATGGAAAAACGGGAAGGTAACGGGGACCCTGAGGGGAAATCCGAGGGGCGGGAGGGCCAAGGCCTCGGGCGCCGCTGCTTTGCCCCCCCTCCCGTTGGCCTCTCGCTGAGGTAAACAACGCGCTCCTCTCGCCCATTCTTGTTTGGTGGGCTTTTATTCCTGTCACAGACCCGGCAGCCGAGCCCTCCGCCGCCGCCCCTGAAGTGGTGGCCGCTCCCGCCGCCGAGAGGGACTCCGGATCGGACTCATCGGTGAGAAGCGGGGAGACGGAAAAGACGAGTTGTTGTCCCTTTACGCTCCCGTTGCCTGTTTATAGTAGGGAAAACACAAACACACACACACACACAAATCGGAGGGGAGATCAGTTCAAAGTGTCACACGCGGATACAGAAACCCGCGGGTAATAGCGAACCCCCTACACCCCATGATCTCTGACTCCCTTCTCGTGGCTCGTTGGGGTGACAGCCTCGTGGGAAATTGCGTTTCTCGGCTTTTTAGACTGTGGATACCGATCCCGCGGATACAGGGGTCCTGCTGTATTTGGGGGCAAAGATCGAAACCCGGATGGCAGGGTGATGGGCTGGGAAGGAGAGCTGCAGGGTTTTATTTCTTTCTCAGTGGTTTCATGTAAGTCTTTCTTCCCGGGAGCCCAGCCTGACTCCCCTTCCACCTCCCCGTATTATCTTCCTGGTAGCCTTGCGAGGTAGGACAGGCCAAGGCTTACACATTCCAGCACATCTACATTCATGCCATTGCCTTTGCTGCCTCACCACCACTTGAATTTTGCCAACTTAACGAGATTTTTTAGAAATCTCTTGCCGTTAAGCCAGTGGTTGCCAAACATTTTCAACTTGTGGCTCCCCATTTGGGGTACTTGGGGGGGGCTTGAATGGAAGGCAAAACCCCCACCTGTGTAGTACAGCGGAACCCCGCTATCCATGGGATCAGTATCCACTGATTTCCTTATTTGCTGGCTGGGAATACTACAGTACATAAAATCCCCCAGAAATGCATATTATACAGTGTTTCCCCAAAAATAAGACAGGGTCTTATATTAATGGTTGCTCCAAAAAAAAAAAGCATTAGGGCTTATTTTCAGGGGACTTTTTATATTTTTTATGGTCATCTACATGGATTCAAATACAGTCATGTCATCTTTTTCTGGTTGCTGCACAAGGGTGGAGGGAGGGGGTTTCACTTAACTGGGGCTTATTTTGGATGGTAGGGCTTATATGACCAGCATCCTGCAAAATCCTACTAGGGCTTATTTTCAGGTTAGATCTTATTTTGGGGGAAGCGGGGTACAGTATGTCGTTCTAGAGTGTATTTACCAGAACTGGCCGCTAGATGGGAGAAGAGACCATGCAATGTCTCGCATTCACTCATGTACTGTACTTTCTTTCATTTCAGAGGATGCCATAGTGCCCCTGGCTGGGTTTTGAGGTGCCCCAGGGCACCGCAGCACACCATTTGGGAACCACTTCATTCAGTCTTGGAAACAGAGACGGTTTCCTGTGTTAATTTCTGAGTGGTGTGATGCCCTCATAATACAATATGCATTTCAGAGAGGTCACAGTGACTTTGCTGGTATTTCCACCAACTCTATAAAAGGAGATCAGTATTATTTATCACTATAGCGTAAAAGGAGTTGAGTACCGAGACAGAATAAATAAATAAAAAGCTTTCAAAGAACACCAAGTGGCTTTGTGGGAAAAATGAGTTTCCACAGCTGGGTCGTGATTCAGAGCTCTCCTCACTCATGTAGCTGAAGAAATGTTGTACCAACAAGAGAAAGAAACAGTTGGTCTCAGATTGATTTTGTTTACTAATTTATTCCGTTCATGCTTTCTTTCAGGATCCAGATTCTGATGAAGAAGCTGGGGCTTCTGGTCTGACAGAAAGTAAGTGTTCAATTTGGGGTACTTTCATGCTATAGGAGTGCAAATCTTAGTTTAACATTGGAAGTAGATATATTGGTCATCTGAGAAGAAATGTGAAAAACATACTTTTGCTACTTTACTTAGAGCTGCATTGTGATAAGTAATGCGTGGCTAGTGTAACTGAAAAGGGATTCATTTCTGGAGATAAGGCATCCGTGACCTAGATTATGTAGGTTAAGTTCTTTGGTTTCTCTCTTGCAAAGCAGCCAAATAGCTTCGGCTCCTGACTATAATTTGTCAGGTTTTCTGTTGGGGACCTGCCTGGCTTCTCAGTGTCTTGGAATGTTGAATTATTTTGGTGTCTTGGACCATCATGTTCTAAATAGAAGTCAGAATTCTGGTATTTCAAGGAACTCATGGTAACTAGCTTTAAAAATATCCTTCTTTTCCCAGTGGAATTTTTGAAGAACCTCTTGTCCCGGACGCTGAACTTGGGCAGTGAAAAACCTGAAAAGGTGCTGGATGAGCTGACGTTGGAGGGTGTGAGCAGGTTCATGCTTAGTGAAAAATGTAAGCCATTTCTTCTTCTGTGTTTGGATTTGGGGGGGGGGCTACTGTTGCTATGTCCTGCTTCTTTAGTTTTTCTGCCTATCCCCCTTTGAAACAGTCGCTCAATACTGAGATGAAGTTGTGCCATAGAGAAATTAGAACATGCCTGTTCTTTTTGAATTGAAGTAAAAGTTGAGTTAATGACAAGCTTAATTTTTTGAATATATGAAAGTTTAATGCATTAATATTAATATTGTAAAGGAGGAAAACCTTGAAACGGTTTCAAGGTTTCTTGCTCCAGCTTTTGTACAGTATTGCCATGAGGTTGAGTGAAGTTAGAATAGAATCTTATTTGATAGAGAACGTAGGCAGGAGGTGGTTCAGACAGCACAAGACAGAGAACGTCTGCAGCCATCAATCATGGTTTCAAGCCATGTGCTGATACCCATTGCCAGATCATGGGTCCCAGCAGCATGAGAGGCTAAACAGACTACAGTGTTCTGTAATTTCATTTTTCTGCCATCAGGACAAAGGCACTTTCTCCTGTCCTTCTTTCCCAAGAAACCAGAGAAATTTGCTAGGGAAATTTCCTTTGCTTTGTTTGGAAACAAGGTAGAAAGGAAAATGGTCATTATTGAAATGAAACAATAAATAAACCAAACCACAGCTTTGTTACACGGTTCCTTTACCTCTCCCCATTGAGTTATAAGAGAGCACTGATGCCCAGGTTGATGAATGCTGTTATCACCGTTATCTGTACACTTCTCATTCCTTAGATCATTCATGTCTCCTGTTTTACAGATTGAATGTTCAGTTTCACAAAGGGGGAAGTAGGCTGTCCAGTACACTCTTGGCTAAGCAGAGTGTGTGAACCCTAGTCTTTTATATCTTTTGAGCCCCACTGATCCAACTGTCTTCCTTTGGATCCCTGCGCTAAAACACAGTGGGGGTACCAAGGAACATTGCTGGGAATAAGCATGAAGTTCTGCAATCTAAATATAATGGGTTAGAGATTTAAAAACACAATTATTTTTCTTGCAGGCAAGAGGGTAATATGTATGGTCGGAGCAGGAATCTCAACGGGTGAGTGTCAAAGGGGCTTTATCGACCATTTATTGAGCATTTGCTGTCAGTTCTTTTGTTTTAGTCAAAAAGGAAATGGCTTAGTAGATTGTTCTTCTAGCTAGCCTAATTACTGGAAGTCACTTAATTCTGTTTTATTCAGACTTTTTTAAATGACAGATTAGATGTATTAGTCAATACAACTGAACTCACTATTGAGCTGATTCACCAGATCTGTTCTGGTGTAAATTTCTTGTTCAGCTCTCCCTGGTCCCTTGCCATCATCTTTCTCCAGCATGATTTAGGCTTGAAATAAATGATGAACCTCAAACCTTTACTCCTCAATTTGTTTGGTCTTGACTTCTCAATATATAGATGTATCATATGGAGCCTAACCCCCCCCTTTTTTTGGGGGGGGAGATGCTGTCTATTGAAGGAGTATTTCAGCTGCTCCAACTCCTTTTTCTTATTGTTTCCACTGATTAATGAAGCATCTTTCTGTCTCTCAGCTGCTGGGATCCCAGATTTCCGTTCACCGGGTACAGGACTGTACGCCAATCTGCAGCAATACAACTTACCATACCCTGAAGCTATCTTTGAGATTGGCTACTTCAAGGTATTATGATGGGTCTCCTGTCCACTGGATACCCTGTGATATCCCCTGTGTACACCATGGTGGGCTGGTGTCATTTTTTTCATGCCAATTCTGTTTTTCCATCTTGATTTAGCAACACCCAGAGCCCTTCTTTGCCTTGGCCCGGGAGCTGTACCCAGGACAGTTCAAGGTAAGCTCATTATTCCCGGTTTACAGGATTGCTGAGGGAAGGAGCTGGAAATCAGGCACTTTGGAAGTATTTGCTTCTAGGGACCTGAATTCCAAGGTTCCATCCCCAGGTTTGTGCCAAGAGTGTCACTTTTGACTTGTCTGTGGATTTTTTTAAATGAATTTTTAAAAGTCTATTGGCAGGGTTGATAGATTTTTCCCCCCGTCTCTGTCTCCGCATTATTCATTTAACGGCTTTGTAAGAGTTGTTGTAGGCTTGGGGCCATGGATTGTAATAAATGGCAAACTAGATTTCCCCACTTGTTTTTAGCATAGCACAGTAAGGGCCGCATTGCATCCAAGACACCTGAAAATACAGAGTAAATGGTGAGCAGGGTTTTCTTCCCAGGATCCCCATTCCCAGATAAGGGAATGGGGATCCTGGGTTCAAGGAAGGGCCTCTGTGGGCTGGCAGAATCCTGGACTCCATCGTGTTCCTTCATTATTCCCTATATCAAATATAAAAGTGTTTATGTCAAACGTGTTACTCCTGAGCCGTGCTGGTTCCAGGTTCTGGGAGGGTCTCGTCTACTGTCCAGGATACACCTGCTCTCTCGTCATCTCACGGAATCCTTGACTATTGGATCCTGGAAGTTGATGCCTAATACCAGCTGGTTACTATTGCTTGGAAAGCCTCTCCTGTGGGGAAAGAGAGCAAGGGAAATGGAGAGAGTGGTTCTGCTTCCTCACTGGTCACCATTCACATACATGTATTTGAAAAGGGCTGGTTAAAAAGGGAGCAGTGGTGATGAGACGTTGCAGGCCCAGAAGAATCCAACAGGGGGCAGTGCAAACACACACCACCACCACCACCACCACCCCGCAGTCTTACACATCAAAGTGCGAAGAACTCTGATGCTTGTTTCTGAGCGAAGCAAACTAAACTAAGGCTCTCCTGATTTTCAGCCCACAATCTGTCACTACTTCATGCGCCTCCTCAAGGAGAAAGGGCTGCTGCTGCGCTGCTACACCCAGGTAAATAAAACTGCCTTTTGCTTGTATAAGAAACACAGCTGTTAATATTCTGTTCCTAGAGGACAGGGAACTTCTTTTTTTTAAAAAAAAAATCAAACTATTTAGAGAGAAACCTCTGTGGTCTTTGCAGCCTTTCCCAGAGAGCACTTTGATGACTAACAGTGGTGCTGGAAGATGTACGGGCAGGGGAGTAGAAGTAGAATTTGCATGTGGAAATATAGCTGAATTGGGAGGAGAGCTTTGGGAGCAAAGGGAGAGATGTTCAAGAATATGAGGGAAAAGAATGGGGAGGGCAAGAGAAAAGACTCGTGTTGAAGGAGGTTAAAGGGCAGAACGAAAGCCACAGAAGAAGAGAGGCTTACTCACAGAGCGTGCCCTGTTCCTCCAGTGTTGCCTGAGAGAACATTTTAGGCCAGAGTTCCAGCCAGAAAGTGCAGCATAGGGAGAAGAGGCTTTGTGGTAACCTCTCAGGGAGGTTTCTTTTTAAGCAAAACCTCCATTAAGGTGGTTGGCCCTAGGTTTATCCCCAGTTCTGGATTTAAAAATTACAATAATGGCTGTGGGAATGGCTTCACGGTGTCCCACCCATCTGGTGTGAAATAATTTGCCCTGTATCGATGAGGAAAGATGCAGATTCAATACCTGCAGTGACTGGTTTCCAGTAGGAAGGTGAAAGAGCTCCATGCCTTTGTCTTCCAGAACATCGACACCTTGGAACGGGTGGCAGGCCTGGGTAACGAAGATTTGGTGGAAGCTCATGGCACCTTTTTTACCTCCCACTGCACAGGTTCCTTCTGCAGGGAAATGTACAGCTTGGACTGGATGAAAGGTGATGCTTTTGAAAGGGAAGGGTGAAGCAGGGGGAGGCCATCGTGGTGTGGTCTTGCAAGATGGATGGCAGAGGCGTGCAGCAGGAACAGAACTGTGGCCTCTCTTGAGCATTCCTTCATATTGAATGATGTAGAAGAAGCCTTATGATGGCTTAGCAGTGGCCGGTGATCGTGGGGTTGTGTTAACGTCACTGATCAAGGAGTCAAAGTGACCTGCAATCTCGCTGTGTGCCCTCTAGGATTGCCTAACATCCGACATAGCTTGCTTGTAGATAAAGCTGAAAGAGTAGCTGTTCTTGGTAGGGAGTAAGGAAGGGCGGGTGGCTGGGCCAGCTCTTTAACTGTGTTCATTAACAATTTACAGAATTCTAGACCTCCTCTTTTCTTTTCAGAAAAGATCTTCTCCTCTGCCATTCCCAAGTGTGAAAAATGCCAGAATGTAGTGAAGCCAGGTAAGCCTCTCTTTTGAAAAGTCTGCTGTCCCTCAACAGTTTGTTCCTCAAAAAATAAAAATAAAACAGCGATACTGTAGCTGTGCTGGCACCAAACTAATCTTGTACTCTTTACTGAGATGACGCCTTTGCAGGCCAACTTGAATGGTACCAAAAAGTATGCAGAGGAACACAGAAGCATACAAGCTTTCAGAGGTACTCACAAATATTTGCAAATTTTAGTTTGCTTCTGTATGATTTTTATGCTCTTTTCATTGGTCTTTAATGGTATCGCCTCAGTTTGAAGTTTATTCCTCAAACCACATTTCAAAAGTCTTTTATGTCAAATCTAATTCCGATAGGTATTCAAATATTAGTAATTCACAAGTGACTGCAAATAGCAGCCGAGAGTTTACAAGTACATTCTCCTTCAGATACGAGAACGGTTGGCTAGTGTCATTTATGATTTGCTGTAGCAACTGTTTTCTATATGGAAAGCCTAAGCTGCCAGCTTATTTATGTGGCAAGTAAGGTATGGCCAACTCGTTTCCCCTCCAGTTCCAGGCAGTTCCCACAAATGTATGGGTGAATAAGCTGCATTATTTATTTTATTGGGAGCTGTGGAGAGGGGCAAGAAGCTACACAGGGCGTGGAAACCCTGCCCTAGAAATCTTCAGCAACAGCAGCAGCTTCAGCTGACCTTCACAAACAGATCAAGGCTAGAAATTTGCTTCTTTCATTTTTCGAGGAAAGCTGAAGTATTTGGGTAGCTCAGCTCTGTGTTTCCACGATGGTGCATTACTCAAGCAGCCCCGAGCAAAGGTTAAGTCTGTTTTTTCCCCCTCTTTACTTAGATATCGTGTTTTTTGGGGAGAATTTGCCCTCTCGTTTCTTCTCTCTGATGAAGTCAGTAAGTGCCTTAGTTATTTGTCTTCAAGGTCAGGGCTATTGTGACCTTCTTATAAATATTCCTGAAAGTGTGTGACCTCTTGCTTCCTAAAATTTGCTTGATTCTAAAATTGCACACACCCAATGGAGATGGGATCATTTGGACAATATTTTATCCCTTTATTGTTAAGCACGTTAAAAAACATGACTGGATAGCATCATGCCAGCTTAGTGTAAGCCACCTACCGTTTACAGTTTATAAGCTTCCTTTATTCATATCAGAGTGTTGCACAGTTTAAAGTATCAGCAGCTTTACAGCACAATGCTTCTGGAAGTGAAGGGCTGGCTGGCTGCAGATCATTGCTCAGGGGACACCTGAGTGTACTCACAGTGCTTTCCCACTCTTTGGGCTGGCTCCTTCTATGTCCCTAAGTTTATAAATAAGATACCTATAGTTTGTTTAAAAAGAGTAGAGTTGATAAAGTTTTTGATAAAGTTTTATGAAAATGTAGAGAGGCTGCAAAAAGTGCCTCCCTTAAGCTGTTTTATAGGGGAGGCTTGCAGCAAAGCATCTCAAATAAAAGTGTATTTATCTATACATGTACATCCACTTTAGAGTGCAGCAGCCAATGACCCTCTCAAGAGACCATGTGATTTTTATCTTCTTGTCTTAGAGTGTTAATGGACATAGAACTATGACAGAATGCTTGTGTTCCTAGCAGTTTGAAACTTGTGAAACTTTAATTAAGGCAGAAAAAATGGCGCTGAAGCGGCAAAAGGTTGGGCTAGAAATAAATACAGAAAAAGTGAGGAAGGCTTTAGGGAGGAACATTTAGTTGTGCCAAAGGCAGTTGTGGGCAGGGATCCAGCATTGTTCTATAAATTTGTCAAGGCTGACTGTTGTATTTATTACTCTGGGCTCGTTATCACATTGCACTATGCTTCAGTTTTGTGGTCAGCAACCATTCTTCATGGAGAGTATAAGCATTCCGTGTCCTTTGTTTCCCCCTTTGAAGGAGCCAGTGGCTTCCCTCTTCGTTGAATATAGCTAATGGCCTCACGGGCTTTGAACCACAAGCTCTCCTGTGAATGATAACGAAGCTCACCATGTCGGTTTGGCAGGAGATTCTCTTGCTTGGCACAAATAATAGCTAGGCAGAGGGATCGAAGGGATCAGCCTTCTGACGTAATTTCAGAGAGGCAAGATATGGCGAGGTGTAGAAATTAGGCTATATAGGCTCTTGCTAGCAGTTCTCTGCTGCCCACATTCCTTCGTAGCAACTTTCCATCTCCTTTTCTCCACCCGCAGGATTTCCGTGATGTAGACTTGCTTATCATCATGGGCACCTCCCTTCAGGTCCAGCCCTTTGCCTCACTGGTCAGCAGGTAGGTGAACTTCTACAACATAGACCTTTGAATTTCGACAACCTGGGCATTCGCCGCAGTAGGTGGTATTTTGCTGGTTAAAGCCTCTGCTTTCTCCTTCATGCTTTTACACTCTTTTGCCCTTTGTCTTGTCCAGGGTGCCTACAAACACACCACGGCTCCTCATCAATAAGGAAAAGACTGGAGAGGTAAGGCCAGGGTTTGTTTGTTTGTTTGTTTTTAACGTGCAGTGATTTAGTGTTTTGGACAAAAGGTAATACCTAAGGACAGGAATCCCTTAACCAGCTGTTTTTGTTCCATTTTGGTTTTTTTCTGGTCTGTAGGTCGATTCTGTGGCTGCAAGTCGAAACTAAATTTTGCAGCCAAAGAAGTCTGTAACTCGAAAAGTCTGTAAGTCGAGCCGTCTGTAAGTCGAGGGTCCACTGTACTACCTAAGGACAGAACTGAAATTTATAAGAAAACCTGTTGGTCTGAAGACTTGTCCGCTTAGTTGGATGGTACTGAGAAAGAGAGTTAAATATAAATGAATTACCTTTTTTTGGTTTGGTTTGGTTTTTTGTTTTTTTGCACTGTTGCAGACTTGACTTCGGAGCATTAAAGAAATTACTTCCACAATTTTTCTCTCTTTATAGAGTGATCCTTTCATGTCCTTGATGGGCTTTGGCTGCGGGATGGACTTCGACTCAGAAAAGGCATACCGGCAAGTAACTGGGGGCGGGAGAGGAGCATGGCAGGCGGTGGGAAAGAGAAACCAGAGGTGTCTCTGTGTGCTGGGCCGTGGGGTGTGGAAGGCCACATGACCAAGGAAAGGGAATTGCAAGTGCAGAAAGGATTTGTGCAAGCATTATAGGTGAAAACAAAATAGAGGTCAGAAGTAAAAAACAAACAAACAAAAAGACAAAAATGTGGTGGCAGCTTAAAGCCTAACCAATGTGAGATTTTGTGAATAAGTCCACTTTATCAGACATAAGAGAAGTAGATTCCCGGCCAGAGGGCCTGGTGCTGAATGTGTTGGAATTTATCACGGGGATAGTTGTGTGTGTGTCTCCCGAGACCGTAGCGTACAACTTCGTGAGAGAGCTAGTGGGACCTTATGGCAGAAATGCAGAGCTTAATGAGATGCATGATTAGGGAATCTGTTGCCAGTTGTCTTACTTTGCATCTCCAGGAGGAACATAATAACACTGGCCTCTCTGGCAAGATTTGGTGCAGTTGCTAAGGAATGTGCATGAACTGTTTGTGTTGCTTAGGAAGCATTTTATGAATCACTGTTCTTTTGGGAGGCCCTTCCACCTGATCTCCTCTCCTCTCTTAGGGATGTGGCACAACTTGGAGACTGTGACAAGGGCTGCCTAGCTTTAGCAGAGCTGCTGGGATGGAAGGTATGTGTGTTGTTAAAAGTCTTTGGGGTTGAGCACCTGGGAGGGGGGGCTGAGAAATTCTGTATCCCAGAAGAAGCAACTTTTCATCTTCAGTTTAGACCTGGGGGGGGGGGAGACTGAGAAATTATCCCAGAAGAAGCAACTTTTCATCTCCAGTTTAGACTTCCAGCCATCTCTTGGTTGTCTTCATGCCTTTCTGTTCCTTTGTCTTCTGTTTTCACATTAGAAAGAGCTGGAAGAACTGGTGAAAAGGGAGCACGCGGCCATAGATGCTAAGTCAGGGCAAGCTATTGGAGATGGGGCCAGTGCGACCCATCCTTCAGGAAAGGAGCAGCAGAAGCCCTCCCCAAAGAAGGAAGCCCTTCCTCCCAGCAAAGAAGAATGAAGAATCGGGACACAACCAAAGGTCCCCCTCTGTGGACAAATTAAAAATCACAGTGAATACAGAATGAGTGATCCTTGCCGCTTGCGCCCTTGTCTGAGTTGACGTTCTGGAGAGACTTGGCTGCCAGGGAAGGCTTCTGCCTGGGTAATGAGGCAGTGAGGGGGGCAGCCAGGTGAATGTGAGGAGCGGTGGAATAAAAGTTTAGGAGGCCAACTTGCCACCTCGGCCATGCCTTGCCTTCTGACCTGGAGGGTGATTGGAGTCTTGAATGATGGGTGAGGCGTGAATGGTCAGATTAGCCATTTGACTGTTTCTTTCTGATTTTTGTTCAAGTTGCAGGGAAGGGGACCCTAAGTAACGTGAAAGAGAGTAGCTGTAACTGGAAGGGACGCTGGGTAGGTGGGTGGGTGGATAAAACCTGGCTTGATCTTAGTCCTTGCATCTCTGCTGGTCTTCCTCAGAAGTAGTTTATACCTGGCTTGGCCAGGGAAGGTCATTGGTTGGAGTGTTGGCTGAATCAGTCTTTAGATTCTGGTATGATAGCAGTCTTTAACAACATATGATTTTTGCCTCTGTCATTTGCGTTAATCTATTATAAGCAGCAATTAAACATGAGCACCTTAATATCAAAAGGGGATGTTGTCTCTCTTTTCCTTATTGTGACCTTGCAAGGGATTTTCCCATGTCTGTTTTGGGATGGCTGTCCAGGGCGCTGCAGACAATATTTGCCGGATTTATCTCTCTTGCCACAATCCTTCCTAAAAATAAACGGCGAGTTACTGCTGTAGGTTAAAAACAGAGATAAGAAATGGGACATTTAAAATTAAATTAATGTTCCAATGATGTGGGGAAGAAGAAAAAAAACACTGACCCATACAGGCTTTCAAAAACCAGCCTGTCACTTTGAAGCAAAGGGTTGAGCTTTCAGAAGTAGACAGTCTGCATCTATGGAAGAGGGTCAGACGTATATTAAACATCTGTCAAAATATGGTGCAGCATCTTGTGAGCCTTTCTAGACCCATAGCCAGGAGGGGGGCTGGTACATTGAAGAGGCCCCCTCTTCTGTCTCTGCCTTGTCTGCCCAGAAATGGGGCGGATTATGGAACAAAGCCTTTCATGTTGATCACACATTGGGCAGGCTGGTTCATTGAGGAGGCGGAGGTTTTTTCAAATACACTGCTCTGTTTGCAAACGGATTCAGGAAGTCCAGCATTTTGTCTCTCGGTTCTAGCTCAAGGCGTTCCATCATCCTGTCCATGAAGAGCTCTGGAAAATCAGCCTCGGAAATTTTGTTATTCTGTGCTTTCTTGCCAAATGTTTTCATCCGCCATTAAATCCTGCGCCTGTGAAAAAAGCAGGTGACCAGATATGCATGTTTGTTTGGTGTTGTCTCACTTACGTAAATCAGGATCAAATAACAACTTGAAGATGAGGAAAGTGACTTCTGTGTCGAGGGTTGGAATCCCCTGGATGGCAACGTACACAAAACGACTTAAACAAGGTTTCCATGAAGCAAGCAGAAAACCTGGCCACTTCCAACATCAGGTTGCAAACAGTTTTGTAAATTTCGGAATACCTAGATCATGAATGAAATCAGGCCCCTTCTCAGGAGGAGGGGGGTGGACTGGCTGTCTTTTTTGTTTGTTTGTTTCTAGTCTATAGAGAGGAACGTGTTTTAGATGCCTAGCTGTGCAGTCCGTAGAGAAAATGAGTTCCCATCTGGTGACTCAAAATGGCAAGCTTACTTTTAAAAAAAAAACCATAAAAACTTACCCAATCTGGGCCTGAAACATCGAATGGGGGAGTGCAATGCCTAGTCTTTGCCAGCCCTAAATGTGTATCTTTGTACTCTGCTTTTGGTATCTCTTTTGTTGCCTTCCCCCCACACACACACCGCTGTCAATGACGAGGCCCTCCGGACCACGTGAAAGCAACTAGCGGAGGTGTAAACCACATCCCTGCCTTTGTCTTCCAGAGCTGCAGTCTTCCACCTCGGCTTGCTTGTGTTCTTTATTCACCTTTCACCGTTCCTTCCAAAGCATGCTGCAGAGAGAACCTCCTGCTGCTGCTGCTGCTTCTTGACCCTCCGTCTGCTTCTTGCATGCCTGCGCACCCATCATCACAAGGTAAGACCCGCGGTGTCCTTTGTGGCCTGTTCTGTCTGTTGAGTTTCTAGGGATGATTGTGACACTCTAGAAAAATGATGGCCTCAACTTTAAAGTTGGGGGCTTAAGACAGGTGATGGGACCTGCAGGGGCTTAGAAGCCGTGGGAACCAAATAAATCTTATTTCCCGCACAGAGCAAAGGCAGAGAAGAAACAAGGAAACCAGAACCTCAAAGCCCCGCTCTGGAGCTTCCCTGTGGTTGTACTTTGGGAAGTGATCACAGGATTGATCTCATCTAGAGATTAGGAAAGTTATATATATAGGTTTGGATTACAACACCCAGCCATCATTAGATCACATCCCTTGAACATTGTCTTGGGGCCACCAAAAGCTTTTGCCTCTTCTTCTGAAATCAAGACAAGATAGTGTGTTTCCTTGTTAGCCAGGGGGAAGGTCTTTTGATGCTGTGGCATCCAACGGGCAAATGTTGTGTTAGCTGCACAAGTGAGATGGATGGGTGATACGTGTATATTTTCATTTGGATGACTGCCATTAAGCAGCCGCCGCAGGGATGCTGTTACAAAGCTCAACACTGAGCGCCATTTTCCCTAATAGTCTGCACACGTGGCTGACAATTGACATGTTGTGTCATCGACAGGTGTTAATTTTATGAAATGGATTAGTTAAGATAGATTATATAGAAAGAGAAACTTTTTTTGTGGGAGGTTCCTTCCCATAACTCTAGGTATTTTTGATTCGGGTCAGAAATATTATCTCTCATTTGCTTTTCTGTTGACAAGACATTTCTAATAGCATAGCACTTACGTAAGTGTGGAGTTGGTTTGTTTTTTAAAGGAGGTCGCTGGAGATTTGTAGCATTTAATCATATTTATACAGAATCATGAAACTGTCAAAATGAAAGGGACCCCGGGATGATCAAAACCCATTTTCTGCCAGTACAGAAAATCTGCAGCTAGAGCATCACATGGGTGGTGACACATGGGTGCCAAACCTCAAATGAAAAGGCTGCAATAAACAAACAAGAGCTTACCACAATTCAAAGCAGTCTGTTCCAGTGTTGAACAGTTCTTAACCTCGGGAAAATCCTCTTAATGTTGAGTCACAGTCTCATTTGTAATATAAATCCATAGGTCGAGATGAACTGCTGGATAGCTCAGAGGGTTAGGCATCTGGCTATGGAGCCAGAGTTGGGAGTTCAGTTCCCCCACTGGGCCTCCTTGATAAGGACTGGACTCAGCGATCCATAGGATCCCTTCCAGCTCTGCAGGTCTAAGGTGACTAAATATTATTTAGAAAAGACGAGTCTAGTAAACATACAGGTTAAACGGTCCTGCATAGCTGAAGTCCTTTGCTCCCCAACCTATCACGGAAGGAGACAAACAGGAAGCTAAGTTGTGTACAGTTTTATTCCTTCCCCCGCCTCTAAATTATACCCTGTCTCTTGTTTCCTTCATGTTTACCAAGATTACATTATCCAGAAGAAAACAGGAATGGAGGAGGCTGACTTGCCGTTTTGTTGAAACAACACTCTGAGAAGTTACCCATTTTTCTCTTCGAGGTCTGCCCGTGCTGTAAATTAGGAGGCACAGGGGGCAGTTCATTCTCTTTTTTTTTCTCTTCATCGGATTTTCTGCATCAAGAAAAAGGCCAAAGCCGTGAATATAGGACAGGGCTACAGGCGGAAGACTTATTTGCTCTGTACTTCCTGTAAAGGATGCAGAGCTGTGAGGATTACAAAAGGCTGGTGTGGAAAGCCTTGAGCACCACCTAACTGTAACTTCCCTCATAAAAGAGATGCTCGGCTTGGCTTGCCAGGACGCATCCTTCACACTCCTTGGAGCGTCGCGAACGTTTTCTTGCCCTCCCCGTTCTACAGGAGGACCCAGCGGGGAGGGCAAAAACGATCCAAGCCATTCAGAAGGATGCTGTTGATGGAGGGGGTGTTCCCTTGTGTGGGGCAAAATAAGATCTAAACAAAAGAGGTCTCTTTCTGTTTGCCTTTTGGTTATGGCTCCCCAGCAAGCCAAGCCATCTGTCTAATGGGTTCTCCTCCTCCAGGAAGCCATTTAGAAGTTTTTTTTAAAAAAGGAAACCGGGGAAGCGTACTCGTTGGACGTTCCCTGTGCGCCAAGACATGGATGAAATCACCAGTGGCGCCAGCAGGAGCCTTGAGGAGAAGGAGCCTAGGTAAGTGAGCCATAATGGGGTTGGAAGTCCTTTGCAGATTGTTTGCCTTGTGCGCAGAAAGCCCCCCAAGTTCAGTGCCAGGGATCTTGAGGGACAGCCGGGAAGGAAAGATCTTTGCCCAAAGCCCTGAAGAAACTCTTACGGGCTATCAAGTCAGCACTGACTGAGATGGAGCCCTAAGGGGGCTTTAAAGAGAAGTTGGGTATCTAAAGGAGTGGTTTTACCAGGGCTCCTCATCTCTTCAGTCTCTGTGGCCAAGCGAGGATTTGAACTCGGGTCTCCTGAGGCCCGAGGCCCTTAGGAGGATATTGGACTACAAACCCCATTGACCCGTGAATTTTCTCACTCACTCTTTTGTTTTCCTCCTTTTGCGCAGGACGCAGCCCACCGTCGCCAATGGAAAAAGTGAGACCCCCCTCCCACTTTTGGATAGGCTTTCTCTCACACGGCGCATTTGGGAGCTTCTGGACAGCCAGCCGGCTCAAGCAGAAGAGCTGCTGTCTGCCCAAGGACCCGGGGTAAGTAGCCAGTTGAATATCCAAACCACAGGAAGCTTAACGCAGGCCAGATGGAAGAAGGACATGTGGTAGCAGTTCGTTACAGAGACTCTCCCACATTAGTTAGTTGTGATCTAACCTTTCTCAACTGGATGCCCTCCGGATGGCACAGATCACAGTTCCCAGCCAGCGTGGGCACCAGCAACCAGATTTCTGCCATCAGTTCTTTGACTCTTGTGACCCAGTCAGTGCTGTAAGCAGGGAAAAAAGGACTTTTGCAATTATAGTTCTAGCTGCGCCTATTTGCAGCTATCAGAATTTAGGGGGGAAAAGAAAGCTCTTTCTCTCTGTTTTCCTGGATGTTTTCTTTTTCATTTGTTCCCCCCACCCCCTTTTTCCCTTTTTCCCTTTTTCAAATTTTTATTTATTTATTATGGGTGACCAGGCATTCATCGTCACCAGAAATAGACCTGCAGGTGCCAAGACGCTCATCCTCCAGATACAGGAGGCCATTTGCCATTTCCCCATTAAGGAGGAAAGTTCCGGTGAGTGGATTTGGGTACCGAGTGGGAGTTTTGTACTAATGGGATCTGCAGCACAGGGTAGGAGGGGAATAATATTTTTATTATTGGAAGAAGAATGAATTCAAATGGCTTCATTTATTTCAACTTGTGCTCAGAGGCTATAGGAACATACGTAGGAAGTAGCCTTCTGCTGTTCCATCTCACCCAGTATTTTTCAACCCTGTCAGTGGCTTTCCAAGTTTCAGACAACGTTCTCTCCAAACTCCCCAGGTATTCCCGGGTGGCCTCCCAGCCATGTACATGAACCGGGCTTCCAAAATCAAATGAGATCGGGCGTCTTCAGGATTGTACATCCTGGGTTAAGATCTGGGTTAAAATTATGAAGTGCTCTAAATTGACAGGAGGGAAAAGGCCTGTGTCATGTCTGCTGCATTGTGGAGGGTAGACCCCAGGATCTGTTTTGTTTTCCATTCGGGTCCCAAGGACCACCTCTGGGTTCGAGGTGCCAAACAGGGGCTTGAAGAGGTGTCATCAGATTACAGAACACCTGAGCATTAATATTTGTAATCGGTGCTAGACGTGAAAGATTGTCTGAATCCTACCATGTGCACCTCTGCCTTCATCCTGGATGACACTTCTTTGCTTCAATGCTCATGAAACAGCACTCGGGAGTCCTGGCCCCTGACTTTTCCTACTATAAGGACTCTCCAGGATTCACACCCTGCTTCTCTTGCGGTGGTGCAGAGCTATGACTCAGAAATCCTGCATGGCCAGGTCTCTCCTGGCTTTGAACCACAGCTCCTTCCTCCTCTTCCTCCTCCTCCCTTCCTCCCCCATGGGGGTCTCTTCTGTGGCACCACCTCCTCTACTCGTATTCACACAAACACACACACACCATTTTTCTTCTTCTTTCTAACGCCTCCCTCAACATCCATCCTGTCCTTGCCCAGTTGTTTTGCAACAAAACTTCCTCCTACATAAAAGGGGAAGAAGGGTTTTGAGAGACACTGAAGCATCTGGGCTCCTCGCCGGTCGAAGGTCTCCCCCTGTGACATCCTGGTTTCTTTCCTGTCTTGCGAGGCTGTTTGGAGAGGCTACAGAAGAGCTCCCTCTCCTCATTGCCCTTTCCCCACCCTGCTGGGGATCATTTGCGCCTTCCTTCATAACTTGTCTTCTCCTTCTCTGAACTCAGCAACAGGTGAGGAATTCTTGTTTCTCGTCTATGATGGTTTTCGCCCACTTTGCACCCGAGGATTTCTGGGCAACGCGTGCGTTGATCCTCCCCACCTTTCCTCCCCCCCACAACAGCCCTACAAGGTAGCCCAGGCCGAGAGCCATCCAGTGCACACTTGTAGAAATTAGTGGGTGGGTGATGTGGCTGAGGAAGAAGAAGAGACACACATTTCTTTTTAGGATTAAAGGGTAATTGTTGTGCCTTGTACTTCTGGAGAGAGTTGGGTTTGCAGCTCCTGAATTTCCGTCAGGGGAGAGATAACATCATATGCCCTTTATATCTGTTTGCATAAGATACTAAGATACTGAAACAGCGTGTGAGCAGTTTTTTGAAGGGTTCACGTGTACTAACGGACAAACATGTTAGCCACTCGCACAAAGATACTTAATGCTGAACCGGTTTACCTAAAGAGCTCTCCAACAACAACCTCTGGAGCCTTCGGCAAAGGTCTTCCTGCCCTTGTGAGTTTAGAGGTGCGTGCAGTTGAACCCAAGATAATCTCCACGCTCTGCGTGTGGTGGGACTGTTGATCTAGGAACGGTTCTGTCTTGTTAAGACACCAGTTACCTTTCCTTGCAGGCAGGCAGGCATGTAACTCTGTACTGTCCCCTTAATTCTCTCCTGTGCTTTTTTACCCAAGACTGGAAGATAATACAAGAGACTTGGGGGTGTAGGGATTATCTGTATCCAAGCAGGTGTGTTGCTAGTGGGTTCTTGGGCCCTCACCTGCACCCTCCCAGAGTTCAGGCATGAAGAGAGCACGGGGGAGGGGAAAGCAGCCCCACATGCATTGCAGACCCCTGTGCAGAGTCTGTTCATGCTGCCTGAGGCCACTGCATTGCTCTGCCTAATGATAGGGCCAATCCTGGGCCGACGGTCAGGGTTCAAACATCTTATTGCAAAGGAGCTCAAAATGTCTTTTTCTAATAAGGAAGGAAAGTACCTTGCTTCTAATACAGTACTTCAGAGTTTTTTAATGACTGTTCATTTACGAGAAACGATTTTCTTCATTCTGCCTGTCTTGGTAATATTACGCATATTTGTGTGTGTGTGTGTTCACTGCATAGGGGACGTGGTGGTGCTGCGGGTTAAACTGCAGAAGCCTCCGTGCTACAAGGTTGGAAGACCAGCCATCATAAGATCGAATCCACAAGCTCCCATTGCTTGTCCCAGCTCCTGCCAACCTAGTTGTTCAAAAGCATGTAAAAATGCAAGTAGATAAACAGGTACCACCACGGTGGGAAGGTTACGGTGGTCGTAGTCTAAGTTGCACTGGCCACGTGACCACAGAAACTGTCTACGAACAAACGCTGGCTCTACGGTTTGGAAACGGGGATGAGCACCGCCCCCTAGAGTTAGACACGACTGGACTCAATGTCAAGGGGAACCTTTACCTTATTCATTGCATGCATGGGATTGTCTTCTCTGGTCCTCAGTTTCCTCCTCCTCGTCTCGTGTATTGATTGGTAAACATTCGGGCAGGAGCTTTTAAAAGGGCGGTTCCGAGATCTCAAGTACTTTACAAATCAAATCAATCCTCTCATTATCGCAATAAAGAGAGACTGAGGTGGGGAAATGCAGTGACACAGGAGGCTCGTTGGGCTGTCTTTCTATCTCTTTTGATTAGATACCAAGATTTGCAGGCTCCATCATTGGGGTCGGGGTCAGGGTGGGGGTCTGTTGCAGTGTAAGATCTTCTATCTTGTCTTGTCCAGCTGGGCTTCACACACCGTCACCTGAGTTGGCACTAAGTTCCCGGGTCTCATGGATTGATTGGTCCAGAGACCGGTGATAGGAATGAAGAATCTCTGAGCATCCCTACAATATTTTTCTGCCATCCACTTCCGGGTTTAAGAGAAGACTTCAGCCAGCCCCATTCCAGGATACCTCCTCTGTGTCTCTTCACCAACCTCTGCTTCTCCCAAATAATTTGTCAGTCTGTATTAAAGAGGGGTGGTGGTGGTGGAACTAGAACGTACGAATCTTAACGAAAGCTGCTCTTGGTCAGACCTTCCCATATTGCTCTGCCTTGTTTTGATGCCTCTCTTTCCCACAGCTGTTTATCTGGAGGGTTCCCTGCTGCGCTTTAGAGATCTATTGGAACTGGTCAGCTTTTACCTTGTGAGCCGGTGAGTAGCCAAGAAGGGGTGCTTGGCTGGTGGGAGAAGGCCCCTTGCTCCCATCACTCTGGCCGGGTGTTGTTTCCCCCAAAGGGGTGTGTCACCGCCTGTTCTCCTTTCTCAGGGATATCCTGCCCTGCCCGTTGAGAATCCCAGATGGGCTTCGACTTCCCAGCAAGCCCGAACTAGATGCCGTTGCTGCACTGGACATGAGTGAGTGAAACTATGGGTGTGTGTGGAAAGGGTGTATGGGAGGACAGGGGGTGAGAGGGGGGTAGTTTAGGGCCTGTTTGGTTTGAGCCAAGGACTGGTTGCTTGGCCTTTTGCCTGGGTGTGAGATCTTAGTCTTCATTCCATCATGGAAATCTCATTTATCAAATGGATTGGCTTCCTCGGCCCTGTCTGCTGATGGTATACTGTGAATTATCTAACCGACTAAGCTGTTGTCATGCTTTACGTGGCCATCTGCCAAAGCAACCTAATTGGCTATTCTGTGTGGTTGGTTTCATTATTACTGATATACAGTAGGACTGTGATATCTGGGCGGGGGGATCAGTTCCAAGCCACCACCCCACCCCATGCTGAAAAATGCAGAAGCAGCAAACGCCATCCATTGCATGGTCTCTGTCTCCTTCTAGTGGCCAGTTCTGGTAAATACATCCTTAAAATAGGTATAAACATATACAGTATTTCTGGGGTTTTTTAATTTAGTGTTTTCAGGCAGTTGATAAGTGAATCAGCCGATAGTGATCCCACGGATAGGGGGTCCTACTGTACTGTCTTAATGCAAAAAACACAAACCTTTAAAATGAATAGAAACAGTTAAGAAAACAGTTGCTGCTCAAAGTTAAATAAAAAAATAAAGCTGGTTATATATTACAGCAGTTTCATTGGTTCCTCTCTATTCCTACTTAACACACCCACCCACCCCGTTTTGGCAGTTCTGTGCCTTCTAACTCCTGTGGGAAAGCAGGTATCCTTCTGGTAAAGCTCTGTCTTTCTCTGGGCTAAATGAGATGATACAATTAACACATTAGTAGAAATAGCACCTCCTAAAGAGGCCATAGATGTCCGCTTATCCTAGCCTGATCCACGTTGACGTGTTGCTTTTATTTTCTGATAGGCGAGCAAGAGGTCAAATCATGGGAAACGTGCATTTTCCTTAATGTTTAACTGCATCCCGCTCTGCTCCCAAGCTGGGAACTTGCCCTGGTTTGCATGTGCTTACCTATTAAAAGGACAGGAAAACCACCCACAAAAAAAAGCAAACAGGCTTAGCATTCTCTGCCCCTCGTCCCACTTGCGTTGTTGTTTCGTTGGCAGAATTCTGGACGATGCCCCTTAAATCTGGCAGTGGGCCGTCGTCCGCCAAAGCCGATGACAGACCGCCGGGGCCGCACAGAGATCCTCCGGAATCCAGCCAGCCAGCCTGCTCCATCCAAGTGACGTCCGAGGAAGGGGCATTGTGCATCATCAACCCGCTGTTTCTCTCAGTGCACAGTGACAGTAGTTGGTTGGACCTGGCAACAAACCAGGGCCGACTGAGCAGGAGGAGGAGGAGGAGAACCCAGCAGGGTTCAAATGGCTGGATAGAAGCTGCCTCCAAGGAGCAAGGGTCATCTTTGGAAGGTTTAGACCATCCGGGGCCTCTGGAGGAGGAGGAGGAAAAATGTAAGTAAAAGCAGCTTACATTAGTAGTAGAGCCAGTTCCAACTGAATTTAGGCTGAATCAGAGAGACATTTGAAGCAGTGGTGGGGCCCTAAAAGGAGCGAATTGAGCCGGCCACTGAGGGCCATGCCGGCTGGGGAATTCTGAGATTGGTAGTCTCCAAAATATAATATTCCCAGGCTCTAGATCTGTTTTTCATGAGGGTTTTAATGACTTTATATTTGATGTTGTTTTTAGTTGACTCCCTTGGCAGTGGCTTTTTATAGGAGAAAGGCTGGATTTTTAAAAATGTCATAAATAAATAAAACGAAAGAGGGCAGTTAAGCCTGCCAACCAGTGTTTGGCTAGCCTGCCAATAAAACTGTATTCTGGGAGGTAACTCTAGGTTGTCATCTGATACAAGAGGGCACTGTTTTCAAAATTAAGGATTAGTCGTTCATCCAGTGGATAGAACGTTTTTACAGTGATCAGTACACAGATGGAGTTTTGAGATGTGAACCCACTGCGGAAATAGTGCTGCAAAATACGAATGAGCCTCAGTTCACCTGTCTATAAAATGGAAATAGTACGTTTTTGGGACGAGTGAGACCGGCTTCATTGGCAAAGCAGCATAAATGAAAACACCACGTGGCCACAATTTAGTTCATTGTGCTTCTTTCTATCCTGTCTGTATCCCAGATGACCCTCCAAGTTCCTCATCCTCTACGTGGCCAAAACGCCTGGATTGCCCTCTGTCCATGCGCAGTTCTGAAGCGGTCTCTGAGGATTCACTGCTCACCTCCGAATGTCCCCAGAAAGAGATCCGAACTCCGCACCGCGTGTCCTGGATTGAAGGCATTCCTGCTGGAACCCCTCCTGCCGGCCTGCTGGAAAAATCCTATTCTGAATTGTCCCTGCTGAGCGAAACCCTGTTGCCGCCGCCCCTCCTCGAACTCGATTCGCTCTCTCTCAGCAGCGCCGAGGACGACGGCGACAGTCCCCTCCTCACCCCGGCCACGCCACAGGCCAGGCAGCGACGGTCGTCCGCCCTGTTGACCTACAAGGTGCTCCACCGCCTCTCGGCCGTCAGCAGCACCCTCGGCAGCTTCCTCTCAGCGGAGCGCAGGATCTCCAGGCGGGTGCAAGAGCTGGCTCAGGATCCAACCTCTTATGTGGGAGGGCTTGTGCAAAGCTTTGTGGGGCACATCCTGCGGGGGGCTGGGGCACGGCACCCCACCAGCACGGACATGCTACAAGAGATCCGGCAGATGATCAGCAATCTGAAGGGTTACTTGTGCGAAAGTTCGGAACTGCACGCCATCTGCGAACATAGCGAAGGGGAGGAGATGGACCTGGGTAAGTGGGAGGGTTGGGTGGGGCTGGAAAGAGGGGCCAGGGAGATCCTTGAGGGCCTTCCATTCTGAGTGGGTTGTGCTTGCAAAGCAGTAGGCTTTGTAGAATCTAAGCTGATTCTGCCCCACCGACCTGGACAGTGCACACTTCGTTTTCCCTAGTGGGCAGTAATCAGCCCCAGGAAAAGTTGCTCTCCTGTTTTTTATACTACTTCTCCCAGGATCCACCAGCTGGCTGGCGGCTGCTAGGAACTGTAGGCTTGGAAAAATCATTTTTCCCCCACTTGTGCTCAGTGGGTGAGGTCTCTGGGTGCATAGCCAGAGGTTGGGAGTTTGATTCCTCTACTGGGCCTCCTGGGAGAAGAGCCAGCCTGGGTGGCCTTGGGCCAGCTGCGCACAGTCCCGGGGCTCCCCCTAGAGGAAGGGAATGGGAAACCACTTCTGAGTATTCTTGTACCTAAAAAACCCTGAAAAGGATCGCCATAACTCAGAATGAACTTCATGGCCTTTGTGATTATTCCCAGCCTTTTGGAGACTCGGCCACAGGGTAGGGCCGGCCCTACTATTAGGGGAAATGCTGGGTAAGCCCCATGGCCCGTCCCAGCCCGTGGCCTTCAATGCTGCGGAGGAGGACGTCACTCATTTTGAAGGAAGGTTTCACTGTTTGCAAATACAACGGCTCAGGCATGAAAGGGTGCCCTCAATCATCTCTTCTTTTAAACAAAACAAGACAGACCTGGTCATGGGGGTTCTTATTTGCCTCTTGTCATGGATTGTTTAGGCCCTTAGGTATCATTTTAGGCCCTTGTCCTTAACTCTTGCTTGAGCTCCTACAGTGGTATCAGCCGTTTTGTATTTTCATTATTCAGGGAGTATAAATAAGGACGCACATCCTGTCTCCGTTGGGCTCAGGATGATTCATGTAGATTAAGGTTGTCCTGTTTTGACTTCACAACAGTCCTGTAAGGTAGGTGAGAGAGAGAGGAGTCTGGCCTTTGGTAGGTGATTTAAGTTCTGTTGCCCCCTGTTATGGGAAAGCAAAACTGGAGCCCTGGGTCTGCTTTCCGAGCAAGTTGATCATAAATATCTCTCGCCATATCTGTGAACAACCGAAAATACCTCTGTGGTTTCCACTCGGAGCCATGGCTGGCTTGCGACATCATCCGTTGACATGTAAGCAGGAGCACGGTGCTTTTGAAACCACGGGCTTCTCTGTGGTTGGACTTCTCGCGCATGCAGCGCCGTCTTCAGCAGAGGCCGTTGGAGGAGGAAGAGGGAACATACGGTGTGTGAAGAGGAAACCAAATAGCTTCATATAGACGAGGAGGGGGGAACCACTCCAGACCCAAACAGTCTTTACATCCTTTGGTTATCCATGCAGCAAGAATGAGCATTTAGACAACATTTCCCCACTTGGCGTGGGAGTGTCTGCCCTGAACTAGGAGCTTTCCCTGCTTGGTGAGAGAAGGAGAATACTTAGACATTACAGAGGGGAGTGGCTGATAGATCAGATCTTTAGAAGTCTGTGCAGCAGGGTAGCCGAGGTCTGTGGTCTGTGTTTACCTTTACATAATTTGCACAAATGCGAAATGTCAAATCAATGGGAAGTATCTTACTGTCTCACAGGCAGAGAGGAGAAGGCTGTGTTTCTGCATGAAAATTAGGCAAGTGAGGTTTTAGATTCTTGGGGTAAAGCATCTTCTCCAGATCCTGATCTCTGTAACGGAAGTTAGGCCTTGACTCCAGGGTCTCTCTCCTTTCTTCTAATTCTTCTTAGGTTCCGTGGTGGAAGGCGCCCTGTATAAATGCCTCCTGAAGCCCCTCCGGGATGCGATCTACGCCCAGCTGCTGGACTTCCACTCCCGTGACGGGACGCTGAGCAGGTTGCGTGAACACCAGCGCACCATGACACAGCAGAGCCTGGCCCAGCTGGGCGTGGCGGCCAGCGTGCCCGACAGCACCGGCTTGGAGCGGATCCAGACCAAGCTGAGCCTCATGCACCAGGCTTACTCACCCAAAAAGAAGGAGACCCAGATGCTTAAAGTCTGCAAGATGCTCTACGAATCCATGAACCAAACTGCTGGCAGGACAGGTAGGAAGGAAGTCGGACAGGTCTGTTATACAGAGCATGTCTGTAAGCCGACTGCAGTGAAGGTCGGGGGAAGAGAGAAGGAGGATGTGTTGGAACATAAAGATCCAAGCTCCAGCATCCTCGTTACCCAAGGGACCCAGAGGTGTTAGTTAGCACTTACCGAGAAATCAACTTGTAAAATGAAGGTGATAAGTCATAATCAAAACAATCATATTCTTCTAAAATTGCTTCCATTTATTAGCTCCCCAGTCTCAAGAGAAGCTCTTCAGATGCTCCACCACTGCTGTTCAGTTTTGTTATGGAGTAGCTTATTGGGAGAAGTGGTGGACTTGCATCTAAGGCAGGAGCTCCCCACCTCAGGTCACCTAGATGTGGTTCTTAGACACACACACACTCCAGCTCCGAGAAGCCATCACCACCGGTGCTTGTGCTGGCCATGGTTTCCGGGACAATCTCAGTCCAAGAACATCTGGGTGACCCGAGCCTGGGAAACCACCACTGTAAAGGAATTGAAGTGCTCTTTGATCCAGTGTTGGGCCGTTTGTTTTGCTTAAATGTTTTGGGAAAAGAAAAGTTAATTTTTTTTTTTAGTCAGAGGCTTCTCATTCTGCCCATTGTACCTGCCATTGGCCTCATTCTACCTCTAGGCCTTAGAACCGAGGTTAGGTTTACAAGAACCTTCCCTGGACCTTTTTCCATAGACTGAGCAGGTTGCGTGAACACCAGCGCACCATGACACAGCAGAGCCTGGCCCAGCTGGGCGTGGCGGCCAGCGTGCCCGACAGCACCGGCTTGGAGCGGATCCAGACCAAGCTGAGCCTCATGCACCAGGCTTACTCACCCAAAAAGAAGGAGACCCAGATGCTTAAAGTCTGCAAGATGCTCTACGAATCCATGAACCAAACTGCTGGCAGGACAGGTAGGAAGGAAGTCGGACAGGTCTGTTATACAGAGCATGTCTGTAAGCCGACTGCAGTGAAGGTCGGGGGAAGAGAGAAGGAGGATGTGTTGGAACGTAAGGATCTGAGCTCCAGCATCCTCGTTACCCAAGGGACCCAGAGGTGTTAGTTAGCACTTACCGAGAAATCAACTTGTAAAATGAAGGTGATAAGTCATAATCAAAACAATCATATTCTTCTAAAATTGCTTCCATTTATTAGCTCCCCAGTCTCAAGAGAAGCTCTTCAGATGCTCCACCACTGCCGTTCAGTTTTGTTATGGAGTAGCTTATTGGGAGAAGTGGTGGACTTGCATCTAAGGCAGGAGCTCCCCACCTCAGGTCACCTAGATGTGGTTCTTAGACACACACACACCCAGCTCCCAGAAGCCTTCACCATCGGTGCTTGTGCTGGCCATGGTTTCTGGGAATCTCAGTCGAAAAACATCTGGGTGACCTGAGGCTGGGAAACCACCGATCTGAAGGAATTGAAGTGGTCTTTGATCCAGTGTTGGGTCATTTATTTTGCTTAAATATTTGGGGAAAGAAGTTAGTTTTTTTTTTTTTTTAATCAGAGGCTTCCCATTCTGCTCATACCTGTAATTGGCCTCCTTCTACCTCTAGGCCTTAGAACCGAAGCTAGGTTTACAAGAACCTTCCTTGGACCTTTTTCCATAGATAAGCTTTAGGAGAAGATTTTCCCCCCTTTTCTCTACACCATGTGCCCCACAGGCCTTCTCTGACTGTGAACTCCGACATATTTTTCTCTCCTCAACTCTGACATTCTTTTGCCTTCTATTTTTGGAAGAGGCCTTTGGAGCTGATGACTTCCTGCCGGTTCTGATCTACACGCTGGTGAACTCGGACATTGCTTCCGTGCAGTTGGACGTAGAGTACATGATGGAGTTGATGGACCCTAGTCAGCTGCAAGGAGAAGGTAAACCAGCTGGGTCAAATCAGAATTATTTCCTGGGGTTCTTCTCCTCTGTTGATCTGGGCTTGAGTTGGGGGCTCAGATATAAAATATAGAACTCACTAAATGCTTCCAGATATTCCTACATAGACTATGAGTTGAGAAGAGGATAAAGCATGCAGAAGACAGACTTTGGCTAAATGCTTATTCTTTTGATATAGCACTTTGTTTTCATACCGCATGAATTAGGGTTAGTGGAACTGCACTTGAGTTGTTGTTTAATCGTGTCTGACTCTTTGTGGCTTCATGGACCAGAGCACGCCAGGCCCTCCTGTCTTCCACTGCCTCCCAGAGTTGGGTCAAATTCATGTTGGTAGCTTTGATGATCCTGTCCAACCATCTCGTCCTCTGTCGTCCCCTTCCCCTCTTGCCTTCACCCTTTCCCAACATCAGGGTCTTTTCCAGGGAGTCTTCTCTTCTCATGAGATGGCCAAAGGATTGGAGCCTCAGCTTCAGGACCTGTCCTTCCAGTGAGCACTCAGGGTTGATTTCCTTCAGAATGGATAGGTTTGTTCTCTTTGCAGTCCAGAGGACTCTCAAGAGCCTCCTCCAGCACCACAGTACAAAAGCATCAGTTCTCCAGCGGTCAGCTTTCTTTATGGTCCAGCTCTCGCTTCCATACATCACGACAGGAGAAGCCATACAGATATTAAAAAGAAACAAATATCACTGAGAAATGGTAAAGCAGAGCGCTGCTAAAAGCACATTGAAAGCAATAAGAGCCTTAAAATGGGTTGAGTTACAGCATTTTTGTTTGTGATTAAATTATACTTGCATATGGCCAGGTCCCCATCTTCGGAAAGATTTCAGTGCTGCAGCACACCGAGGGTCCTTTCACTTGCGTTCTTCCTCCTGGTGATGGTTTCCCCCTCTTCCTTCCATGCCAACAGGTGGCTATTACCTCACAACCTGGTTCGGGGCCCTCTATCACATTGCAAACTTCCAGCCGGCTGCTATGGTGACTCGGCAGATCAGTATCGAGGCCCAGCACTCCATCCATCAGTGGCACCGCCGTCGCACCATCCACCACCACCACCACCACCAGGCTAAGCGGACTCCTTCGCAGGTGTGTGATTTCTGAACACAGAGTCGCGGCAGTGGGGGCAGAAAAGTAGGAAGAACCATGATTCCAGGTTCCTGTTCTTCAGCTATGACAGGGGTATCAGACATCGAAAAGCCCCTGTTCCTCAGAGGTCCCCCTGAACCAGAGTTCAAGTCGAGGGAGGGTTTGCATGAAACATGCTGCCAAGTGAACCATTGTGAGACCAGATCCCCTTCTCTGAGGATGGCACATGGTCTCTAGAGCAGGGTGGCCTGAAAAAAAAACACCCCTTTTTCTGCATCTTCTTTTCTCTATGGATGCAAATAAAAGAGGTTTTTTTTCCTGGCAAGAATGACCCACTCCAAGCTGTAACTGCTTAGCTATCTCTCCATGAATTCCTGTGTGTTACTTGCTTTGTTACACCCATCTTTTTCCAGTGAGCTGAAGGAGGTGCACGCAACTCCCAGCTGCCTCTTTGCTTTATCCTCGGAAAAGCCATGCAAGGTAGGACAAGCAGAGAGAGGCCGAATGACCCGAGGTGATCCAGGGAGCTTTTATTTTGAGGGCTCTTGTCACTAACCCCTTGCTCTCCCTTCCTTCAGAACACCCTCTATATCTCCCTTCACGAACCCTTCAGCAACCAAAAGACTGTCGCGGTCTCCGAGGATACTACGGCGACGTCGGTGTGTGCAGCATGTGCCGAGAAGTACGGTGTCTCCGACCGTGAGGCCTACGGCTTGTTCTTGGTCTCGGGTGAATCGTCCCAGCTCTTAGCAGAGGGCAGCTACCCTCAGAGGCTCCACCTGGAGAGCCTCCAGTCCAAAGGAGCCCCTGTGAATTTTGTTTTCAAGCTCAAAGACGGAGCCCTGCCCACCGACACTCCCCTTTCTCGTCAGAACCCAAACGGCTTGACGGGGTCCCAAGAACCCCTTGAAGAAGCGGGCAGAGGGCAGTCGGAGGTGGATGGGATCTGAGTTTTGAGACTTTCCAAAAACTTTCCTTTTTAACACAGAAGAATGGCCAAGGGTTCTGGGCTTCTGGCTTGGCCCAATTTTTAGGAAAAGCTCAGACCCTCAGGAATAAAATTCCATTTGGAAAGAGATTGGCCTGAAATACTGGTACTGAAATGATCTGGATGATGCTCATCCGCTCCCCCCCCCCGATAGAAGGGTGTAGGACCAGAGTCAACCGGCCATGTTTCCATGGCATGCTCATTTTCTCTCTCACACACATCACCACCCATGGCCCCTTGAAGTGAAAGCAGGGCTCCTTCTTATGTTTAAACAAGGCAAGGAACCATCACTCAGTGGTAAGAGCACGTGCTGTCGAGGCTGTTGTCCTCATCCTTAAACCCCAACAGGACTGCCTCTCTGTTCCCATCTGAGCCTTTCTCTCTGTTCGGATCCGTGGTTGTCACAAGGTTCTTTCTGGGTGAGCAAATTCTGCTTCTCCCTTGTGGCCTCTGTGAATCTCACGTTGTGGGTGTTTGTGCACCGGCCTGAAATCCATCAGAACGTTTTAGAGCTTAGGGAAAGAATATTGGAGCAGCCTTCCTCCCTGGACATGCCTAGCGGCTATCCCTCCATTCCCTCTACCCAGCTCAGGAGGCTTCTCGGGATGTCTTGTTAGTATCTACTTTGTCTGCTTCGCTTTGTGCATGTTGCTTTGTTTTTCCCAGTTCGGAATCTGACGCTCCCCCACCCTGCCCGCCCCAATGAAAACATGAATGAGGGCCCTTCCCTGCCCCGTCAGGACACCCACCCCAGCCAGGAACTTCAGCGTGAACACTTTGCAATTCTTTAGTAAGCTCAAGGGCTGATCCTCCCTGATCTTGTCATCACACCACTGCCTTCCGTGGTAAACAAGAGTGGCGACACGAGGAGGAAGTGGCAGGAAAGTTGGTGCCAGCAGCATCTCTTCTGATCTCGACGCCCAGCTGGCCTTTCTCTAGTCTCTTTCAGCGGTGCAGGGAGTCATTAAAGTCTTGGCTAAAGTTCTGTCCAATTATTTTATGAAAGCAACTTCTTCAGATCCAGCGCTTGTGAGGTTTTCTTAAAAAAATCAGGTTGGGTTTTTTGTCGGTTGGGTCCAGAAATTCAGAAATCGAAGCTGTAAAACGCAGCCTGTGGAGGCACAGAAGTGGAATCTTTTCCTCAAATCTTGAATGGCCAAGTGGGCTATGGTTCAAAGCTCAAGTCACAGCTTCCCGTGGAAGGTTTGGGTTTGAATCCCACTTCTGTCAAGGAGTTTAATCTTCTTTGTTTCCTCTGCAAGCTGTATGGAATCGTTGTTTCAGGGCTGGACTGGGCTCAGGAGGACCCAGCTTTCAAATCCCCATGCAGCCATGAAGCTGCCTTCATGGCTTGGACTGATCCCTACCCCCCGCAGGGCTGCTGCGAGGATAAAGAGAAGGGGGAGCCCCCTGGAGCAGCTGGAAGAGGAAAAATTAGGTGGCAAAGGGCGAGTGTCCCTGAAAGGTTTCATCCGAAAATGTTGGTCTTCAGGAGAGAAGCAGATTGAGAATCTGTACTAATAATCAAGTCTGGGATTAGAATGTTGGAAGGAAAAATGCACATCGGAGTGTCCTCAAGAGAGCAGCTTTTTCAGTTCATGCTAATTTTAACATACACTTATCCTTTATTCCCTTCCCTACTACAGTAATTTTTTTAAAATCTGTGCAAATCCTATATTTAGCCAGCAGAGGGCAGTTTATCTCGTTTGCCCCTGCGTTGTCGTCTGGTGGTTCTGTGTGGTTCTGGTTCTTTTTGTTGCAGATTGGCTTAGATCCTAACAGGCGTTTGCACCCACACAAGTGGACGGTATTTCTTGCTGGACCTCCTGGACCTCCCTGGGATTGTCCTGGTGTCATCAATCCCCATGCATCTGGAATGGCGCTCTCTGAAGCCTCGAACAGAGGGCCCATCTTTTTGGCTCTTCCCCACCTCTTTCGCTCTCTCTCCTTTCTCCCCTCCTTGTCCGCGGGATGTGGAGAGGTGGCCCTTGACCAGCAGGAAAATACAGTGGTGCCTCGCTAGACAGCTACCCTGCATGACAGTTTTTTCGCTAGACATTGACTTTTTGCGATTGCTATAGCGATTCGCAAAACAGTGATTCCTATGGGGGAATTTCGCTGGACAATATTTGGTCCCTGCTTCGCAAACTGATTTTCGCTAGACGACGATTTTGACAGCTCCCTCCGCGCTCGCAAAATGGGTGTTTTCGGGACCTAAGCTTCGCAAGACAGCGATTTAAACAGCTGATCGGCGGTTCGCAAAGCCCCTTTCCTATGGCCGATCTTCGCTAGACAACAACGATTCTTCTCCATTGGAACGCATTAAACAGGTTTCAAATTATTCCAATGGGGAAAGCGAGGTCCATGAGCATCTAAAGCGCATTGAGGTCCTTTGGCGCACGAGGTGAACTTTCTCCCAATGCCTCTACCTTCTCAGCAGAAAAGCGGAGCAATGAGGACTTAAAATAACTAAGCTGTCAGGACACCTCAAATCAGATGACAGAGGCAGGGCCAGCCTTGGTGAAAAAAGTTGCTCTCCAGCAGAAGTTCAAGCTATCGAAGGACTCGGCCGGGCCCAGAGGGGGGGTGCAACCAGTGGGAGAAGGGGACGCCATTCCCAAAGTGTGGGGGGATCCTGCCACAGGCTTGCCAGACACCCCCTCTTCTCCCTGCCTGAGCCCCCTCTGCACCTGCCTTCAAAAGAGATCAGGAGTTCAGTTTCTGGCATCTCTTCCAGCCCACGCAGGTGTGTTCCCCTAAGCCAAGGCAGGGAGAGAAGATCCACTGGCAGTGGGAATGGAGATGAGGAAGTTTCTGTTCTCTTTTTCCCCACCCGCCTGCCTGCACCATGCTGTCTTCAGAGAGAACCTTTCCCCCAAGTTGGTTTTCCAGCCGGCAGAGTCCTGTGCAGGCAAGTCTGCTGTGGAGCACTCCTAAAGCCCACGCCCCCCCCCCCAATCTGGGGCAGTGAGTTTCCTCCCTCTTCCTTTCTTCTGCCTTTCACACAAGCAACTCTGCAGACAGGTGCAAGCCTGCCGGAGGGCAGGGAGGCCAAGGCGCTCTGTCACCAGACGTTTCCGATCTTGTCTCCCCGGCGTTCTCGCTTGCCTCCTCCTCACCACCACCACCCAAAATCCCAGGAATTCCCAGCCATGTGGAACAGCCTCTGTGATGCCAGGTGGCAGACTGAAAAAGCAATGTGCTCAAAACCCCATCATCTCGGCTTAAAATGGCAAATGCAAGCTGGTGGGTTAGGTTTCTCCTCCACTTTCCTTTCTTGAGGGAGACATAGATAAGGGTCTTGCTAAAATTCTCGAGAGCCTCTGCCCGTCAGAGCTGGCTATCGCACCCCAGATCGCCCGGTGGCCTTACCCAGCATAAGGCAGCCTCTTCACAGAGCTGTAGACCAGGGGTTTTTGTTGTTCCAAAAATGGTGCATCTCTCACCTGTTATCTCCCATTTTCCAGCCCCCAAAACCAAATAAGTGTAACTGGTTATTTATCTTATCAGCTGGTATGGCACCCTCTGGTAAAGTTGAGTCTCAAAGAAGCAAAGCTACTTTGAAAAAAATCTGGGCTAGGAGAGACACAAGCAACATTGGCTAGAACGGGTGGGCCAAAAATCTGAACTGTTCGGGGGCCGAACCAACTTTACTTAAAAATAAAATGAAACAGTGGTGTTATGATTGTTTTTATTTTAACTTGTCACTCTTAACAAATACTAAAGAGGTTTTTTGCGGTATGTTAAAGATAAGCAACTGAGCAACTTTACACAAAAAGCTATAAATGGTTTTGATTTTCAAGACTGTCCGCAGGCCGGACAGGAGCGGCCCGCGGGCCGTATGTGGCCCTCGGGCCGCACTTTGCCCAGGTCTGGACTAGAAGTTCAGTGGTCCCTAGAAGGGGTGGGGGGGTCATGGTCTCTCATCGTGACTCTTTTAACGCATCTCTATTTGGGGCAAAACTTTTCAGGTGTTCCAGGGACCCCCAATAACCTTGATTCAGCTCCCATTCCTCCTCTCCCTGTACCTCCGGCATAGAACTTTTCCCAGATCTTTTAGAGAGTGCAGTTCTCCGTTTGAAATGATATCCGAGAACCATCGTCTTTCTGAACTTGCTTCCCCTTGGAAAAACTCTCCAGCCCACGAGAACAATCGTTTCTGGCTGGTCCCAAGGCTAGTGGGTTCATCTGCCTCCTGGCAGGGCTGGCCGCCTTCCCCAACACTCTGTATTCACTATCCGCGAAAGCAGTGGCAGCTTTGTGGGCAGCCCCAAATCCTTCAGCTCGTTTTGGTAATTCTCAAACTAGGCTACCATGACCAAGAAGATTTCATCCCTTGGGGAGATTTCCTTGTTTGGACTACAATTCTCAGAAGTACAGTCCCCCCAGTTAGTATCGCCAAGATCCTCCTTCCTTCCTTTCAAGTGTTCAGACTCTGCATCGTCTCTGCCAGCATCCATGCATCCTAAAGACCTGGAGGATTGCAAGCAGTTGCGGAAAATGTAACTTTTGCAAGCACTGGCTCTCACAGGCATAATTCAGGGGGTCACAAAGTAGAGGGCGGAGCTGGTTTGGATAGCTCAGGGGTCCAGGTCTCTGGCTGCTGAGACGGGTTCAGAGTTTAATTCCCCACCTTGCCTCGTGTGTGCAGAACAAACCCAGGTAGCCTTGGGCCAGTGGCACTCCCGGAGGAAGGGGAAGGGGTATTTTCTACCCCTGAAAAAGGGTCACCATCAGAAAGGACTTGACAGCCCATGGATGTTTGTTATTAGAGGACAGAGGACTTGGCGCTAGAATGTCTGATGATGCTTAATTTCTAAAGCACAGGGGCCAAGCACTCTGTAAAAGGCAACCCATTTGAGTTCAGGATTCCTTCTCTCCAAATGCAGTGATTTCAGAAGGGGGCTGGGAGGTGGGAACTTCATCCTGCACGTGATGGTCGGGATTCCTTTCTTGGATCACAACCCCCAGCATCCCCAAACACCGTGGCCCTAGGGGGCAGGGCACCCTCTCGTGTTCATTCCGGCATCTTTCAGGGCAGAGGCTTGGCTGACGGGATCCCCCCAGGGAGAGAGAGAGTCTGTCTCTCTCTCTCTCCCTCTCCCTTCCTTCTCATACAGCTGCAGGCTTTGATTTGGGAAGGAGGAGAACAGGGGGGGGCAGGTTTCCTTCTCCCCCCCAACACCACTGAGGGGGGCGTGGATTCCTCTCCAGCTGTTGTTGGTCCACGTGGTTTGGACCACCTTAGGGAAAAGTGCAATGACATGCCGAGGAGGGAGGAGGGAAGGGGTGGAATCGGCAGGGCTTTATAACCCTATATGCAGCAACCCTGTGGTGTCCAGCCCCTTTTTTGCCAGGGACCAAGGCTGCTCCGGTCCCCTTTGGAGAGGTTCCTGCACCATGGCCTGCCTGCTGTGGTTGCTCCTGGTGGTTCCAGAGGTAGCAGCAACTTTCCGGCTGGACGCCTCTCCGGTAAGGTCACTCGGGAGCAAGCAAAAAAAAATTTTTTTTTAATTAAAAGACAATTTTAAAAGGCGCAAAGCTATCAGAGATGGCAAGCTGGCAGTTCTGTGTTTCCTTCTGTACAGTGGGGAGGAAAGGTTGGGCTTGCTTATTTATTTATTTATTTATTTATTTATTTATTTATTTATTTATTTATTTAATGTGGGAGCTGCTGTGGATTTCTCCAGTTCTGATCTGGAAATCTCTACCTTTTTAAAAAAATCTTGAAACAGAAGCATGTGCAGTGATCGGTTAGGTGGCTCTCGAAGCATAGAATTGTTTAGGGTGTTTCTCTCTCCCCCACCCCCTTTGGTGGTCAGGGAGCCGATGGCCTTGAACCCCCTTTTTTTTGTAAAGATGGCTTTCTTGACCTTCGCTCTGAAGCAGATTACTGTATGCATTCATAACTGGGTGACAGGAGCTGAAATGTCAAGCATGCGTGTGAGAGAGAAAGAGAGTTTAAATATTTGGACTTTGAGAACACACTTTTCTTTTTCTTTCTTTTTTCAAAAAAAAAAATCAATGTTTGGCATGAAACTCCGTTTTCTTTGGCAGCGCGCAGTCCCAGAAGGGCTGGAACCCCAAAGCAGAGAAGTTTTGCCTGACTTGCGGTCTCGTCTCCCACAGATGCCAAAAGAAAGTCACAGGACTCGTGTCTGGTTTATTTATTTATTTATTTTAATGTCCGCCCGGGGGGGAGAGAGAGAGAGAAACTGTCACCACGGTGGCGCGAGGCAAAGATGACAGAACACAAGGCGAGCAAAACGAACAGGGGAA